AACATACGTCGCTCAATCGGGGTCGGCGGCAGAGGCGGCAGCCTTTCGATAGATGCCGTGGATCGTCATGGGCGGGAAAAAACTATGCCCCCTGGATTAGCGATGACCTGGTGAACCGGCGCGCCGTTGGGTACGGCATCCCTGCGGAGGTCCATCGCAGCAATGTACGCTAAATTCAGGACGTCAGCATGCAACTTTAGCTGGTGCGAATATCTGGGCTCGAGGAAGAGCCAACGCTTTCGGCCATGGACGTGGGCCACCATGGAATTGGCCAAGTCCATGTGCAACCGCGACACGGTGCCGCCTGGCCCATGGAGGAGCTGCGCCGGCGGCAGCACGCCTGCGCGGCTGCGTCACTCGCTTGCCAACTTCTCCACGGGCACTGCGTCCTGGCAATGGTGGGATCGGACAGCACAGCCACCGAGCGCGCAGAAGGCGCGGGCGCCGTGCCGTTTGTAGCTGCATCGTCTACCGGGCGCTGGTACTCAGCTAACGTCATGGTCTGCGGCGTGCTCTCGTCGAGCGCGTCCGTGACCGCATGAATGCGGGCTCCAGGTCCTAGGGCCTTCCTGAAGCACGTGCCCAGGTTCAGAGCCTGCCGGGCTCAGACACTCGAGGTTCCAGCCGTTCTGGGCGGTCGCCGCGCCGCGAAGATCATGGGCCCGCTCCACAAACAGCGCTCCTCGAACTCACTTCGGACCTGGCCAGCCCTGCACCTCCAGGATGCTTCCGTTCGCAGGTGGCGTCAAGATGGGGACCTCGCGCCGCAAGCCCACATCTGCAGGCGGCTTCGCCCAACCGAGAAGGTGCGCAAGCAACCAAACGCTGTAAGGCAGTGGCATCCCAGCCGTCACCAGGCAGCGCGCCAAAAGCCACGGCTGCCAGGCCCACTGCCCCGGCGAACATCGGGCAAGCGGCAGGCAAGATCGCCGTGATATCTTCAGGTTCGGCTGACAGAGGAATGAGATGAAATGCGCAGCTCGGCTGCTTAAGCCCAAACTGCTTAAGTCAAAATGGCTTGACCAAAGATGGCTACGGGTTGGGACTCTCCTGGGCCTCTTGGACGCCTCTTGGGCTGTTTTAGGGCCGTCTTGGCAAGTCTTGGGACCCTTTTGAGGGCCTCTTAAGCCGTCCTGGAGCGGTCTGGGGCGCCTCTGGGGCTGTCTTGGAGCGTGGGAAGCTCGAAAAGACAATGACGTGAAATGCATCGACAAAGCACCATGTGAAACAATAATTGTTGCATCGTGGGGTCCTCTTGAGAGGCCTCTTGGGGGCCTCTTGGGCCGTCTTGGTGCAGCCTTGGGGTCCTCTTGACGCCGTCTTGGGACCGTCTTGGGCGTCTTGGTGTGCTCTGGGGCTGTGTAGGAGGCCTCTTGGACCGCTCTTGGAGCTCTCTTGGCGCCTTCTGGTGGCGTGTTCAGCCTCCCGGCGCGATACCAGCGCGCTCCAGGGGCCCCGGAGACCACATGGCGCGTCGAGGGGCCGTCCTGGGTGGGAGCCACCAGCCCTGCCCTCCAGTACACACACACAGATCTATATCATTTATATATATATATATATACACACACATACATACATACATACATACATACATACATACATACATACATACATACATACATACATGCATGCATGCATACATACATACATACATTCATACATACATACATACATACATGCAGACAGACAGACAGACAGACAGACAGACAGACAGACAGACACACACATACATACATACATACACACATACATACATACATACACACACATACATACATACATACATACATACATACATACATACATACACACACACATACATACATACATACATACATACATACATACATACATACATACATACACATACATACATACATACATACATACATGCATGCGTGCGTGCGTGCGTGCGTGCATGCATACATACATACATACATACATACATACATGCATACATACATACATACATACATACATACATACATACATATATGCATACATACGTACATACATGCATACATGCATACATGCAGGCAGGCAAACAGGCATGCATGCATGCATGTACGCATACAACAGAACCATACAATGTCATACCTTACCATGTCATATCATAACATAGCATAGCATAGCATAACATGGCATGGCGTAACACTGCATAGCATAGCAGCACATAACATAGCAAAACACAACGTAACACAACATAACATAACATAACATAGCATGACAAAACAAACATAAAGGAATCTAGCAAAACATGATGTACCAAAACATAGCATGCCACCGCATAATCCCACCAGCCCTTTGGGCGTGAGTGGTTTAGAGAGCCCGCTCTGTTCTCAACCCTCCTTCCCCTTCGGGGAGGGGTTTACCCCTCCCCCTACCCCCTCCCCCTGGGCCTGGAGAGGTCCCACCGCGGGTGGTCAGGGGAGTCCTTTTCGACTCCTGGGAGGGCTAAAAAACGACCCCCCTCACGAGGATTCTGGCCCCGACGGGGGGAGGAAGAAAAAACCCTCTCCTCTCCTTTGAAGCCAAAATCATTGAGTTTACTACGGTTTTGTCCCCATTTTGGCCTTCTGAGGGGGCAGCGCTCATTAAAGCTCCCCTCTTCCTTCAAGGCAAAATCATTGATTTTACGAAGGTTTTGGCATCATTTTGCCCTTCTGAGGGGGCAGCGCTCATTAAAGCTCCCCTCTTCATTGATCGACTTCCTCCAAGATGGCCCCAAGAAGCGCCCAGGAGGCACACTGAGGCCCCAAGATGGCCCCAAGAGGCCCCCAGGAGGCCCCAAGAGGCCTCCAAGAGGCCCCCAAGATGCCCCCAAGAGGCCCCCAAGAGGCCCCAAGAGGCTCCCCCGAGGCACCCAAGACGCTCCTGGAAGCCCCTGGGGCCGCCAAGAGGCCCCCAAGACGCCCCAAACGGCCTCCAAGAGGCTCCCAAGAGGCCCGAAGAGGCTCCCCCAAGGCACCCAAGACGCTCCTAGAAGCCCCTGGGGCCGCCAAGAGGCCCCCAAGACGCCCCAAAAGGGGACGAGGTGCCCGAACGCCTCACGCCACGAGGAGCCCGAACGACTCACACCAGGACGAGGGGCCCGAACGACTCACACCACGAAGAGCCCGAACGACTCACACCAGAAGGAGGGGCCCGAACGACTCACACCAGGACGAGGCGCCCGAACGACTCACACCACGAGGAGCCCGAACGACTCACACCACGACGAGGGCCCCGAACGACTCACACCACGAGGAGCCCGAACGAGTCACACCAGGAGGAGGGGCCCGAACGACTCACACCAGGATGAGGGGCCCGAACAACTCACACCACGAGAAGCCCGAACGACTCACACCAGGACGAAGAGCCCGAACGACTCACACCACGAAGAGCCCGAACGACTCACACCAGGAAGAAGGGCCCGAACGACTCACACCAGGACGAGAAACCCCAAACGACTCAAACCACGAGGAGCGCTTTCTCTCCCTCCTCCTCCGCCTCGTCCTTCTCCCGCTGCCACCACAAGGAGGATGTACAAGGAGGCGGGAGGAAGGAGGAACAGGGGAGATATGCGGGGGCAGGCGGAAACACGCCTGAAAAACACGACTGTCGGCATGCTCTGCAAGAGTTGCTGTTTTGAGATGGGATGGTGGGGATACGCGAAGCGTGAAGAATTTTATATTGCGTGTGCCTTACCGTACCTTACCCTACGTTACAATACATTACAGTACATTGCATTACACTAGATTAAACTACATTACTTTGCGTTACAGTACATTGCATTGTAATGCATTGCATTACATACATATACAGGTACGTATATACTGACATAGATACATACATGTGCGTGCGCATGTGCGCGTGCGTGCGTGAGTGCATGTGTGCGTGCGTGCGTGTGTGCTATGTGTGGTGTGTGTGATGTGTGTTGTGTTGTGTGTGCTGTGTGTGTTGTGTATGTGTGTCCGTGTGTGTTTGTGTGTGCGTGCGTGCGCGCGTGTGTGTATGTGTGAGTGTGTGAGTGTGTGAGTGTGTGATCGTGTGAGTGTGTGATCGTGTGTGTGCGTGCGTGGCGTGTGCGTGTGTGTGTGTGTTTGTGTGTTTGTGCCTGTGTGTGTCTGTGTGTGTGTCTGTGTGTGGTGTGTGTGGTGTGTGTGGTGTGTGGTGTGTGTGTGTCTGTGTCTGTGTCTGTGTCTGTGTCTGTGTCTGTGTCTGTGTGTCTGTGTGTGTCTGTGTGTATGCGTGTGTGTGTGTGTGTGTCTGTGTCTGTGTCTGTGAATGTGCCTGTGTCTGTGTACGTTTGTGTGTGGGTGTGTCTGTGTCTGTGTCTGTGTCTGTATCTGTGCCTAAGCCTGTGTCTGTGCCTACGTCTGTGTCTATGTCTGTGTCTGTGCCTGCGTGCGGTCTGTGTGGTGTGTATATGTGTCTTCTCTCCCCCCATACACATGTAATGCTGATGCACGCATACATAGCTGTAACAAATCAATGTATATTTGAGGAGCCCACAGCCCCGAGTACCGTGCGCTACTAGGCACTACTGGAGCTTGTCGCGGGGCCCCGCCTGTTCCCGTGTGGCTTTTCAGGACGCCGGAGGGCCCCAAGACAGGTCAAGAGGGCCCCAAGAGGCTCCCAAGACGGACCAAGACGGCCCCTCCAAGAAGCTACAGGAGGCCCCCAAGAGACCCAACAGAGACCCAACAGAGACCCAACAGACCCCCGAGAGCCCCCGAGACACCTCAAAACCGCCCCTAAGCGGCGTCAGAGAGGCACCCCAAGAGATCCTCACAGGCATCAAAGAGCCCTCTGACCCACAAACCAGACACGGTAGCGGGGTGGGCCGAAGGGCACTAGTCATAATATGCGGCAGAGCGGACGTAATAGATGTGAACATATCTTACACGCATACATACCAACGCTTGCAAAAACGGATGACACTTGCGCGGGGTGGATAAGCTCCTTTCGCACACACACACACACACACAAGGGTAGGAGTCCCACGCGGTTGCAGGGTCCTTCTGCTTCAGCCTGCTGCGGGCCAGCGGCTCGGGCTCCATGACCAGCCGCCAGCCGTCGACCATACCCAGATCCAGTTCCACGAGCGTGGAGAAATTCTGGAGAAACTCCGTCACCCAAAAACTTAAATAAACGTCCGCATCATCGTTCATGAATGGGTTCTTCATCTGATACGCTGTGTCCATCACGCCCATGAGGAAGGTGACCAAGACGAAATCCGCCTTCGTTTGCCGGTTGTGGAAGGGCGTAAGATGTTAGGCTACCCCCTCTGGAGGAATCCAGCCTTCCGTTAGAGGAGGGGGAGCAAGAGCTCATCGTACATCCCAAGCCCCAGACCGCTAGACGCCCTCAACATGGTCCAAGTTGACCCAGCGCAGCCCAAGATTATCCAAGATGGCCTCCAAGACCGTCCAAGATGCCTCCAAATAGAACCAAACTGCCTCCACAATTGCCCGAGATGACCGTAGGAGGCCCAGGAGGAAGGAGGAGGGAGGAGGGACCCAACAGGCTCGCACGGAAGGCCCCGAGGCCCCCCAGGGACCCCGAGGGGTTAAATTCTCCGATCCCTCTGGGGTGGCCATGTGTGTGCGACTGTTCCCCCTTGCAACCATCATACTCGGACCCCCCGTTCGCTCATTAGGGGGCCACATGCGAACCCTACCCCCAACCCCCCCACGACTTCTGAGGGGGAGGGTGGGGTTCACTTCGTTCGGGAGCTCCCGGGCAGAGAGCGTGGGGGGGGGCAGGGGTAGGGTTCGCAGGTGGTCCCCTACCTCATGCGATGGGCATGTAAGAGCGCACCCAGGGAAGAGCCCAGACCGCTCCAGGATGGCCCGAGAGGCTCCCGGGGCCAGCCGGGATGGCCGAAGGGGCCTCCAAGATAGCGCGGCAAGCCCCGAGGGCCTCTTGAAGCACGCGAGGAATCTTACGAGATGTCCCACAGGACCCCAAAAGAGGTCCTGGACTGCCAACATCATCGAGGAGCCTAATGTGCTTCACTGTTTGGGGGGTTATGTGCCTTCCAGGCCCGGTAAACGTCAGGAAGGCCCAAGGCGATCCGTGAGGGCCCAAAACGGCCCCCGACATGGCCCAAGACGGAACCAAGAGGGACCCAAGAAGGCCTAAGCGGACCCCTGGAGTGAATCGACTTCATTCCTCTTCTTGTTCATTATTGCTCATTCTGTCCATCCTTTCTTGTCTTCTCTCCTCCGCCCTCCTCCTGCTGTTCCACTGCTGCTGACCGCTGCCATTTAGGGCCTTGAGCCGCTCGCCGCACGCCCCGCGGAAAGAGCGAGCGCCCGGCCCTCCCTAGCGAGCCCTGCCGGGCATTCCGTCTCCCTGGAGCTCTCGTGCCTGGATGGCATTCGTGTGAGACGTCCTCATGGAGAAGTCTGGAATCGTCGAAAGAACTCCAAAGCGGCCCCGAGACCTTCCCCACGCGCCTAACACCCTCGAATGCAGCACGAAGATCGTCCAAAGGCTCCCCAGACGCCCCGAGAACAAAGATTCTCAAAATAAGCTCCCAAGAGGCCTCCCAGGAGCTGCAACGAGGCTCTCAAAAGCTGCTCGAAGGCGCATGCCGAGGATTCGAAGCACGGCTCCAAGGCATTCAAACGCGTGACGCTCCTCTGTTCCTCCTCCCCCTTTATCCTCCTCCCTCTTCATCGCCTCTCTTCCTAAGTATCCTCCTCTTCCTCCTTATTCCTCCTCCTCTTCTCCTCTTCTTCTCCTCCTCGTCTCCTCCTCCTCGTCCTTATCCTCATCAGCAGCATGGCACAGTCGTCATCATCATCATCATCATCATCATCATCATCATCATCATCATCATCATCATCAGCATCAGCATCAGCATCAGCATCATCATCATCATCATCATCACCACCACCACCATCACCATCAACAACAAGGACAACAACAACATAGCATCATCTTCACATCACCACCACCTACCATCATCCTAATCATCATCATCATCATCATCATCATCATCAGCAGCAGCAGCAGCAGCAGCAGCGCCGTCGTCGTCGTCGACTTCGTCATCGTCGTCGTCATCGTCATCATTGGCATCATCGACATGACCGTCGCCCATCATCATAATCAGCATCCTCATCATCATCATCATCATCATCATCATCATCATCAGCATCAGCATCATCGGCAGCATCATCATCATACTCCTCAACAGAATCACAACAATCAGCATCAGCATCATCAGCATCATCATCAGCATCATCATCATCGTCATCATCAGAATCAGCAGCAGCAGCAGCAACAGCAGCAGCAGCATCATCACCGTCAGCAACATCATCAGAACCCTCGTCATCATCATAATCGTCATCTTCGTCGTCATCATCATCAGCATCATCAGCATTGACATCATCATCAGCATCAGTATCATCGTCACCATCATCATGGTCATCACCATCATCATCATCATCATCATCATCATCGTCGTCGTCGTCGTCGTCCTCCTGATCATCATCACAATTCTGATCGTGGTCATCATCAACATTGTCATCATCATCACACTCAGCAACACCATCGTCATCATCGTCATGATCAACACCACCATAATCATCACGTCCTCTTTCTCCTCCTCTCCTCCTGCATCCACCCCCATCTCCTCATCATTATCCTCCTTAATCTCCGCTCGGTCATCCCCATCACGATCACCACCACAATCGTCATCATCATCAACATCACAAGCACCATCGTCATCACCACGACCACTATCACCACCACAAGCATCATCATCAGCAGCATCAGCATCAGCATCTTCTTCTTCATCATCATCATCATCATCATTGACATCATCGTTAGCACCATCGTCATCATAACCACCATCGACATAAGCATCATCGTTATGACCGTCATTATCATGATCATCACCATCACCATCACCATCACCATCAGCATCTTCATCATCATAATAATAAGAATAATCATCATCATCATCATCATCATCATCATCATCATCATCATCATCCGCCTGGCCCTCCACATTGTAGCCGAACCTCAGAGGATATCCTCCCGAAAACCCTCCTCTGGGGGACGGCGGAATGCCGCAGGATTCCAGAATAGAACAGCGGCGCGAACCAACAGTCCGTGGTTGCTGCTCCAAACCCCCAAAGGAAAAGCGTGATCATAATCATGAACTTCATCAAATGGAAATACGGATACGGGATAGGGTTGCGCAATGTTTCCATCAGCGTGCTTCGGGAATTGCCATACTGGAGAAGCCGGCGGATCACATCGGACTCCACATTGGGGGGTACTCCAGCCACCTGAAGGCCCGTTTTCGCCACGTCTGCCACGCAGTGCATCATCACCAGGAACCGCTGCCCGTCTGTCAATTCCGACAGAAAGTCTGCCTCCTCCTGCGGGAACCCTACACACTAACACAGCGACGAAAATGGGGAACCATCTCCATCAAGGAAGGCTGGGTCACTATCTTGTTTGTGGTAATGCTTAGGCCTCCTGGGTGGCCGAAAGATTACCACCATCACTAAGAACGGGGACTGCCTTCCCTTGGCGGAGGCGTCCCCTGATCTTGGCGGCGGCGCTGACTTATATACAAGCCTCCGATCCTTGCCCACCAGCTTGAATTCGACCAGCCTGTCCCATCCAGACTGATCCACGCAGCCATGCCTCGCCTCGTTGAAGAAGAGAAGCACCGTGGTGACCAGCCAGCGACAGGCTACTCGATCGTAGGGAGGGCAACCCGAGGGCTGAACGTAGCTGCGCAGCAGGTACGCTGAGTCGTACGCGTCGGAGAGCATGCGTCGCATGAGCTCGTGAAGTTCCAGGTAGAGCTGACTGCACTGCCACAGGAAGAAGACTGAGGAAAAGGTGCATATGTAAAGGACAATTTCGAGCTGGTCCCAGCGGACGCAGGCTTTCCAGTCGTACTTCAGGAAGTCGAGTTCGCCCTCGTCTCCGAGATAGTATTCTGCCATGCCGACTTTGAAGACCCCGAAGAAGAAGATGAAGATCCCGTAGAACACCCAGAAGTCCGCGGTGCGCAACACACGCGAGACAGCGGTCCCACTGCACCGGAAGACCTGAGCTTCGGCCCCTGAAGATCACGTCCTCCCCCTTCCCCTTCCTCCATATTCTCCTCCTTCTGCGCCGCCTCCCTCCTCTTGCTCTTCCGCGCGGATGGACGGGCCCCTGGCCCCTCCCAAAGGTAAGAAACCATGGCCAAACGCGCTCCCGCGGGAATCACTGAATCGGTGGGAACCTGGCCTGGCCCACGGCCCTAGCCTCTTCCTCCTCCTCCCTCAAACTCCCACCTCCTCCAAATCCTCTCTCCTCCAACTTGTCCCTCCTCATTCCTCCTCCTCCTCCTCCTCCTCCTCCTCCTCCTCCAACTCCTCCTCCTCCTCCTCCTCCTCCTCCTCCTCCTCCTCCTCCTCCTCCTCCTCCTCCTCCTCCTCCTCCTCCTCCTCCTCCTCCTCCTCCTCCTCCTCCTCCTCTCCTCCTCCTCCTCCTCCTCCTCCTCCTCCTCCTCCTCCTCTCCTTCTGCTTATAGATAACTCCTCCATGTCGCACCCCGAGGCCAGTTTCTAGGGCGGGCCGGGCGTTTCGCCTGAGACTTCCTCACCATGTATGACTCTGAAGTTTTAAAAGTGACAACAGTCTCACAGATGGAGAGCGGGTCACTTTCAAAATGTGGCTCTCGCCTTAGCGCCGAGCACATTCAATGTTAAACATGTTCAAGAGTTTCACGGATTAAGATGCGGGTGGTTGTCAAGATGTGGCTCTCGCTTTAGCGCCGCGCACATTCGTGATAAACATTTGCAAGAGTTCCACGGATTGAGGGCGGGTATTTTTCAAAATGTTGCTCTCGCTGTGGCGCCGCGCACATTCGTGTGACAAATGCGCAAGAGTTTCACGGATTGAGGCCGGGTATTTTTCAAAATGTGGCTCTCGCTTTAGCGCCGCGCACATTCGTTCTTAAAAATTTCAAGGGCTTCACGGATTGAGGGCGGTTCCTTTTCAAAAGTTGGCTCGCCTTAGCGTCCCGCACATTCGCTTTTCACTTTTGCAAGAGTTTCACGGATTCCCATGATCAACGTACCAGAAGTGGCGTTCTCGAAGGATTCTGGATTTTGCGGGCGTAACAGTTAAGTTGATTCGCTGTGTTGAAATCCCAAAAATGGCGTTGAAGTCCCGAGAACAATGCTTTGGCACGCTTCAGGATCTTCAAAACTGTTGTCTTCCAACGAGGCAATTCCCTTTGGAAATGAACTGTTGCAGGGGCTTATGAAGAGGGGGCATGGAAGGAGGGTTAATTCCAACATCGTCGATGACTCTTGGGTTTCCACCAGTCCTCCTCCTCCTCCTCCTCCTCCTCCTCCTCCTCCTCCTCCTCCTCCTCCTCCTCCTCATCATCATCATCATCATCATCATCATCATCATCATCATCATCAGCATCAGCATCAGCATCAGCATCATCATCATCATCATCATCATCATCATCATCATCATCATCATCATCATCATCATCATCATCATCATCATCATCATCATCATCATCATCATCATCATCATCATCATCATCATCATCATCATCATCATCATCATCATCATCATCATCATCATCATCATCATCATCATCATCATCATCATCATCATCATAATGATCATCATCATCATGAGCATCATCAGCAGCAGCAGCATCATCATCATCATCGTCATCGTCATCATCATCGGCAGAAGCAGCATCATCAGTATACTTATCATCAGCATCATCATCGTGATCATAATCATCATCAGCAGCAGCATCAGCAGCATCATCAGCAGCATCATCATCAGCATCATCAGCATCATCATCAGCTTCATCAGCATCATCAGCATCAGCATGATCGTCATCACCATAATCATCATCAGCAGCATCATCATCATGAATAGCATCATCACCAGAATCATCATCATCAGCATCAGCATCAGCATCATAATCAACATCATCAGCATCATCGGTATCTGAATCATCATCATCATCGTCGTCACCATCATCATCATCATCATCATCATCACTGTCGACATCACCATCACCGTCACCATCACCATGACCATTATCACCGTCGTCATCGGCATCACCATCATGATCAGCATCATAATCATCAGCATCAGCGCCATCATTAGCAGCAGCATCGTCATCATTATCATAATCAGCATCACCATAATCATCATCATCAGCATCAGCATCAGCATCAGCATCGGCATCATCATCATCAGCAGCATCATCATTTTCATCATCAGCAGCAGCAGCATCATCATACTTCCCATCCTCGCTCTCCGCCCTCCTTCCTCATCCTCCTCCCCCTTCTCCACCTCCTCCTCCTCCTCCTCCTCCTAGGTTGGCTCCTCTTCGAGGCCGTAGCCATTTTGGGGCGCCGCGGCCCGCCAGAGAGGAAGCCCTCATCGCATGCGGATGCGCGCCTTGGAGCGGGACGGTGCGAACGGAGCGCACCACGTTGGAGAGGCCGCCGACAGAAAGGGTAGACGAGGCTGGGCGATGCTCTGCGCGGACAACGCCATCCGCAAGCTCCTGGAAGAGGTCCAGAGACTGCGAGAGGTGCAAGCGCGGCTTCAGGCCCAGCTGGACGAGGCGAAGGCAAAGGCGAGGGTGCAGCCCACAGCGCGGAGCAACGGGTGCAGCTGAAACGCCGACGCCGAACCTTTCGTGACCTGCGATACGTTGTGGGAGTCGGTCGAGGCCGTTCGTCAGTGCGCCAACAGCCGCAGAGCCGTGGTGGGATTGGCAGTGGATGCAGGCCTACGCGGAGGAGGACGGTGGTGCGTGCGAGAAGGACGGGCAGTGACGGCTTCCGGAGTGCGGGAGCGGGAGCTACAGGCAGTGGCAGCCTCAAGAGGATGGTCATAGAGAGTGCGAGGACGGGCAGTGGCAGAGCGACGGGCTGTGGCAGCATCAAGAGCGCGAGCATGGCGGGCAGTGGCAGCTTCCAGAAGGCCAGGGCTGCACATACAGACAGCCCCACGGGGAGCCAGACGTCAACAGCTACAGCGATGAGGCGAAACACGAGCCCGACGACATCATCTACAGCACGGCGACGTCCACCAGAGGGAAGGCGAGGGACAAACCCAACGTTGTCAGCTACGACGCGGAGGCGACCAGCAACCACCGTGAGCGCAAGCGAGAGGAAGGCGACGGACGAGCCCACCGGCATCAGCTACAGCGCTGGGATCAGGACTAACCTGACGGGCAGAGGCAGCGCCGTGCGTGGAGCTCGTGTGAGAAGAGCGGGCAGGAGGCAGAGCTGGAGCCCAACTGCCCTAGCCACGCCACCAGCCAGAGCCAGAAGGGAAAGACGGAGCCAGACGTGACCAACTACAGCGCTGCGATCAGGGAAACAGCGGCGGAGGCCGAGCTGGAGCCCACTATCACTGGCGTGTCCTCTTCGGGTCCCCTCGTCGCCACGGCTGCCTCTGCGAGATCGGAAAGCGGTTCGGCTACGGGGGCGAAGAAGGAGCCCAACGTGACCAGCTGCAGCGCAGAAATCAGCCGCGGCGGCACCAGCGAGGACCCAGAAGACGGAGCGTGCGATAATTATGAGGCGAAGCCAGAGCCTGATGCGAGCAGCTAACAGTGCGGCAAATAGGGCAAGCACCCGCACGGCGATGTGGCGAGCGCGAGCCGAGCTTTCCCGCAAGTGAAGTGGCTGGGCCCGAGCAGGTGCCAGCGCGAGCAGGAGGATGAGGCGAAGCCGAAGCCCGACGTCGACAGCTACAACATGGAGAAAGGTAGCCTCAATGGGAGGCGCAGGACATCCGTGGAGTCTGGGGGCCCCTCCCAGGGAAGCCAGCAGAAAATCGAGACCAGATACCAGAAGTACGTAATCACGCCCAGTAGGAAGTTCAGCCCCTTCACCCTGCTGGGCTCGAACGGTAGGCCCACGTGGCCACTCAGGCCAGACTTCGCGAAAATGGTCCTGAGGAGCACGCAGGGCAAGAGACGCGCCCAGATAAGGCGCGTGTGAGGAGTGTGAGAAGGGCAGAGACTGTGAGGAGGACCAGCACCGCGTCGAGGTGCGGAATCAGGGAGGAGACTGCAGCGCCCGCGAGGCGGAGCTAGGGAGGAGACTGCAGCGCCCTGCAGGCGCGCCCAGCCGCGGGCTGCGGCGCCGAGAGGCCGCCACCGCCGCCGCGCCCGCCCCACATCCTGAGCGGGAGCCCCTGGAGAATGGGGGCATACCCCGGGGGAGGGGCATGTGCGCGGAGGGCGGCGGGGCGGCCCCCAAACCGACGATGTCGATCAAGGAAGAACCCTAGACGAGTTCCTCCTCCTCGTCCTCATCCTCCTCCTCCTCCTCCTCCTCCTCCTTCCTCCTCGTCCTCGTCCTCTCCCTCCTCCTCCTCCTCCTCCTCCTCCTCCTCCTCCTCCTCCTCCTCCTCCTCCCCCTCTCCTCCTCCTCCTCCTCCTCCTCTCCTCCTCCTCCTCTTCATCCTCCTCCTCATCTCCTCATCCTCCTCGCCCCTCCTCTCCTCCTCGCCTCCTCCTCCTCCTCCCCTCATCATCATCATCATCATCATCATCATCATCACCACCACCACCACCATCATCATCATCATCATCATCATCATCATCATCATCGTCGTCGTCGTCGTCGTCATCATCATCGTCATCACCCCCACCACACACCACCACCACCCACCATCATCATCACATCATCATCATCATCATCATCATCATCATCATCATCATCATCATCATCATCATCATCCCCTCCTCCCTCCTCCTCCTACTTCTCCTCCTCCTCCTCCTCCTCCTCCTCCTCCTCCTCCTCCCCCTCCCCCTCCCCCTCCTCGTCCTCCTCTTCTTATTAGTATCAGTATTACTCGTATTATGGTTCGTCTTCTTCTTAGTATTATTATTCGTATTCTTATTAGTATTATTCTTCGTATTATTACTAGTAATTACAGTTTTGGTAGTATTATTAATATCATTATTACTATTATTAGTATTAGTACTTGTATTACTACTATTAGTCCTAATACTATTAGTATTAATATTATTAATAGTATTATTATTATTATTGTTGTTATTATTATTGTTCTGTTTTGTAGTCGTAGTAGTATTGTTATGTTTCTTCTTAGGATTAGTGTTATTCTACGTATTATTAATATTGTCATTATTATCAGTATTACTATTATTATCATTGTTATTATTATTAATATTATTAATATTATTATTATTACTATTATTAGTAGTAGTATTATTATTATTACTATTATTACTATTATTAGTCGTATTCTTCTTACTCTTCTTCATAGTGTTATTAATATTATTAGTTGTTTTTCTTCTTCTTTTCAATAGTACTATTCTTCTGCTTATTAGTACTACTCTTCTTCGTATTATTATTAGTATTCTTCTTCTTCTTCTTCCTCCTCCTCCTCCTCCTCCTCCTCCTCCTCCTCATCTTCCTCTTCCCCACCCAGGGGACCGTGGCCAGAACGCCCGCCCGTGGGCTGTATGCCCCCGCGCCCGCCGCCATGGCGGGCGGGCGGTCCCGTGGGGCAGGCCAGGCCCCCCTCTGAGACTTGCGACAGGGAAGGGGCAGGATCAGTCAATATCGAATCGAGAGGCCGGATCAGATCGGAATGTAATTGGGATCGGGCATGTGCGACGGATCGGGCTGCACCAGCAAGGAATCGAACTCGAGTCGGATTTGCTGCGCCACAATGCACAAAACATCGCCGAATCGTCGAGCCGCATCGGATCGTCAGACTAGCGAAATCGAGTTAGGCCGACCTGGCCGAAATCGATATACATATATACATATATATACATATACATATATATATATATGTGTGTAAACACACACACACACACACATGTATATATATGTATATATACACGTATAGAGACTTAGCCCTGCTCCCCGGGGAACGCCAGACACTGTTTTTAATCGTGTCTGGAGCAAGGCACATCTTTCACAGCGGTGAACGATTAGGCGCCCAGGCGCAACTCGGAGAGACTCCCCTCTACAAAAACGTGCACGTGAACACTGACCTTCAGAAAGCGGTTTCCTGAGGAAGGGAAGGACGAGCAGGAACGAAAGGGGAGGCGAGGCGAAAAGGGAGAGGAGGGAGGGATGACTGGAGCAGGCACGTCGACGGTGAAACGTCGATGCGGCGAGACCTCGGAACCTGGGGCACGTCACTTCAGCTTGTTAAAAGTGACCAGAGACTTAGCCCTGCCCCCGCGGGGAACGCCAGACACTGTTTTTTTTATCGTGTGCGGAGCAAGGCACACCTTTCACAGCGGTGAACGATAGGCGCCCAGGCGCAACTCGGAGAGACTCCCAGACCCGTACAAGAAAAACAAATGGCCCGACAGGCCGGAAGAAAAATCAAGGTTTAAATATATTCCAGAGCGTCGAGACCCTAAGAGATTCAGCAGCCTCGATCATGGTGGCGGCGACAGCCTTACAGAGTTGGGAGGGATAGGCTGCGGCGATGGCTGTCCAGTGTTTTCCTGCCTGGAGCTCTGCCCGCGAGCTCTGGATGCGGCAAGCCAGTTCTACAACAGATCTTGCCGTCAGAGTGACACCAACGCTTCAGCCGAGAGAGACATCCCCCTCTCCACGAGACAACACGAGTACCGAACTAGCACTGATGAAAACGAGCGCTAGAAAAATCTGCACCGCGGGTCAGACCGATCAGACGAGGAGCCCGCCAAATCAACGACGTGTCTGGGTTCTCGAGGAAGGCCGGCACTCGGGACCGTCTGCGCACATCAATGAGCCTGCAAGTGACGAACAGCGCGGCGTTGCCCAACTTCAGACGAGCGCGCTGCGAGTCGGCGAGCGCTGGGAGGCCCATGGGGGCAGCTGCGGACCGCAGAGGCTGCCGGAGCGCCTGAGACCAAGACGTACACGGGGTACCGAAGAAAACGCCGAGGACCAGGCCGGAGCTGATCCACCCCTCGATGAGACGCCCCACGCACCGCACCAATAAATTCCCATGCACAGCGTACTGAGCGTCAAGAGAGACAGCGCCGTAGCCGGCCTCTCGCAACTTCTTGGAGACTCCTCCTGAGCCGGCGAACAGCTCCAGGAAAACACCGCGGCGTCGGCGCGTCGCTCCCTCAAGGGCGGACTGAAGCTCCTTCCGCAGTCGGCGCACAATACCAGTGGTTGAGCGGCTCAACGGCGGCGAGCGGCCCGCCTTGCGCCTGCGCCCGCGCAGGCTGGCCGCTTCCGCGCCGCCTGGAAGGAGCTCTGGCAAGCGGAACTCGGCGGTCCAGCGGCGGCTGCGGCGGCCAGCCGCCGATGTGCAGCTTCAGCGGGTCGGGCACATGGTCGATGATCCCCGAGCGGATGAAGTCGACGCGCGCGAACTCCTGGAAGTTCTGTTCCACGAGGGCCCCGACCAAGTAGGGGCTGTCTGGGGCGAGGCCGATCTCGCGCAGCAGCTTGGACCCCCTGGCGCGCCGTGCCATCGACGAGGCTGCCTGCCAGCGATGGCGCCGCCAGGCCTGCTCCACCGTTCTCAGGTTGGTCAGCAGGTCGTCGCAGGTCCTGCCGCGCCCGAGGGAGTAGAGGCGCGGCCCCAGACTGCCCAGGCCCAGAGGCGAGACGGCCTGGACGAACACTCCGCGGAGATGTGCAGGTCTGAGAGCCCACGGAAACTGCCCAGGCAGCGTCGCCAGGCGGACAACCTCCAGCGGCGGGTTGACCCACGAGACCAGGTTCACCAGCACCGACTCCTCGCAGAAGCTTGTCTTGTCTGGCTGGCCCTCTGCAACGTCGTGGAACAGAAGCCCCTACGCCTGATAGGCCGGGCACGCCTTGGAGGAGGGCGCCGCCAAGTGCTGCGCCTTCAGCTCGAGGCACCCGCACGGCCGGAGGTAGCACACGAAGGACACCATGACCCGCATCGCCAACCGAATCTGGCCCAGGGCCAGCACGACACTGGCGATCGCGAAAGCCGCGGACCGCGACAGCGGATTGCGCGCGTCCGTGAACTTGCGCCACGCCGACCGGAAGAGCTCCACGGTCGACTCCTTGATGGCCAGCTGCTCCAGCGAGGTGCGACTAGAGATTGGCATCTCATCCTGCAGAAGGCTCCGCGCCCGGGCGCCTGGAGCCCGCAACTGCCGGCTGCCGCCCGGCACCCGGGGAGCACGCCGCGCCATCCGTCTTGGCTCTGGCGGGGCCCCCAGGCTCTGCAGAGGAGGGGGGCTCGACCCAGGCACGCGGAGGGCGCGCGCCCGAGAACCACCCTCTGAGCCCACGTGGGCACGGGTCTGAAGGGTTGAGCTCCGAGGCGACCCACCGAGCGTAGAACCGCGACCCCGAAGCCAGGCTGAATGCTGCTATCTTCTGGAGAGGCCTTCTCAGATGACGGGAATGCGCACGCCCCTTGGCGGCCGCGAGAGCCAGGGGCAGGTCATCGACCAATGCAACAATGCGTCTTCCGCAAGCTTGCGAACTCCGAAGAACATGACGAATTGCTAACACCAAGGCCTCCCCTTCGAGCTCTAGGACGTCGAGGCCCTCCGAAATCTGCACCGCGGCGACCCCAGCCCAAGACGAAGCCTCCAGGACATCTCTAGGAATCTCGTCGAATACGGCCACCGAGACGTTCAGGAAGTGACCTCCAGGGGAACTCACCGAAGAGGAACTCGGAAGAGGAGGTGCTGAAGGGGCCCAGATGACGCAGCGCTCTTTCACGAGCTCGCGCCCCCGCCCCCCCCTCGACGCGGTAGCGCCGGCGCTCGGAGTGACGCCCGAGCCCCGCGACTCGGTCGGTCGGGAGCCGGCGCCGAACAAGCCCAAGTCCGAACGCGGACGCGTCGGGAGCGACCACCCGTCCACGCCAGGGCGCGAGCACGTCGGCCTGCAGAAGAGGAAGGGGGCACCTCACGCGCCAGAGCTCCTCCCGCACAGCGCGCCATAGGCCAGGCGGCTGGGCTGCCGGCCTTGGCGGCGAAGGCGCACGACGCCTGCGGCAGGCACAAGCCCTCTCGCCTGGGCAGCGCTGACCAGGTAACACGGCCGAGAACCACCTTTATGAGCGCCCCGCTGCACTTGCCGACGCAGATGGGCCTCTCAATCGACAGCCTGAGTCGCCACAGGCACTTCGGCCTGACAGCCAAGAAGCGCCCGTCCGCGAGGCTCAGACCCAAAAACTCGGCGTCGAGGCTGGCCAGCCCCCGGTCGTGAACCACCAGGCCCAGCCTCTCGAGCTGGGCGCGCACGCAGTCGCAGTGACTGTCCGCGCTGATGGCCTCCGTGCCCAGCACGAAGAAGTTGCCCACGTAGCCGGCAGCCACTGGGGGCTCTCCTCGCCGCACCTGTCGCCCGGGCTGGCCGCCCTCGACGAGGCTGCCCGCCGGGAAGCCACCAAGGCTGATGCCGCGCCGAAGGACGCCCTGGCACAAGTGAAGGGCCCACGAGAAGCCCATGGGCAGCACGCGCAAACAGGGCGCGATGGGCTGCCCCGCGCCAGCCGGCAAGTCGGCGACCCCGCAGTTGAGCGGCAGCCCCGCGCCCAGGCACGGCAAGGAGAAGCGCGCGACCATGTCGGGCGGCACCAGCACGTGGTAGAAGGCAGCCTCCAAGTCCCCCGAGGCGATGAAAACCTTCTGATCCGCCTCCAGAGCGCCGAAGGCCGAAGGAGTAGGCAGGCGCGTCGAAAAGGCAGCCACGAAGTCGCAGTCGATGACTCTCGCGTCGAAGATGATCCTGAGGCGCCCATCTTTGCGCCCGGCGAAAAACAATCCGAGGTCTCCGCCACGCCCATGCTTCCAAGTAAGCATCCCACGGCGCCAGGCCTCTCTCAAAAAGGTAGCGTACTCACGCACGTTGTGTTTCAGCACCACTCACGCACGTTGCGCCTCAGCACTGGGTCGACGCACGCGCCCCGAGGGCACGCCTCCGCGCGGAGGCTCCGAGCGGTCTGGGGCGGACGCAGCACGTGCTCCTTCCAATCCCTAAGCCACGAGGCGCCCACCTCGCCGAGCAAGTCAGGAAGCGGGATCGGCTTGCTGGAGGTGGAGGGCCAGGCGATCTTCTCGCCGTCATAGGGACCGACGGGCCCGCCACCAGTGGTGTAGCCGGGCGCGCCTGACAGGAGCGCGCTAAGGGCCCCCTGTCCTGAATCGAGGTCTGGAGGAGGTCGGCCGACGCGCCGGTAGCAGGTGGCGAACGTGTTCCAGGGCCAGACGCTTACCTGCATTGAGGCCGACGCCGGAACTGGAACCAAAACTGCCATACATGTCATTCAGCAAGTCCACGCCCGCAGCAGCCCAACGATCAGCATGGGCAGCACGGAGACGGCGGCGGGCCACGCAGCGACTCACAGGGGCCTCGTCAAAATTGCAGCGCACCGAGGCCAGTGCGGGCAGCGGGAAGAGGTCGCGCTGGCGGCCCTCCTCCATTGCCAGCCCAAGAGTGGCCAGCGCCGCGGGCAGGTATCGCGGCGGGGCTGCCCAAGGCCCCCGCCGCGAGGCAATCAGCCTTCTGCCCCCTGCCCTCGGAGCCCCTTGGTGACAGGCTTCTTGGCGGAGGGCTTCGGGGGGGCTCGTTCCTTGCACG